GTGTATGTGTGTGTGGCTGCATGTGTCTGTGTCTATCTATGTTCACATGTGTGTCTGTGTGTGTCTATGCGTGTCTGTGTGTGTCTGCGTGTGTATCTGTGTGTGTCTTTGTGTGTCTCTGTGTGTCTCTGTGTGTCTCTGTCTGTCTGTGTGTGTGTCTGTGTGTGTCTGTGTGTGTCTGTGTGTCCCTGTGTGTGTGTCTGTGTCTGCGTGTGTCTGTGTGTCTGCGTTGTGTCTGTGTGTATGAATGTGTCTGTGTGTGTCTGCGTGTGGCTGTGTATGTCTGTGTGTCTGTGTTTGTGTCTGTGTCTGTGCGTGTCTGCATGTGTGTGTCTGTGCGTTTGTGTATGATTGTGTGTTAGTGTGTGGCTGTGTGTGCTTGTCTGCTTGTGTGTTTGTCTGTGTGTCTGTGTGTGACTGTGTTTGTCTGTGTGTCTGTGTGTTTGTGTGTGTCTCTGTGTGCGTCTGTCCGTGTCTGTGTGCGTCGGTGTGTGTCTGTGTGTGTCTGTGTGTGTCTCTGTGTGGCTGTGTGTCTGTCTGTCTTTGTGTCTCTGTGTGTCTCTGTGTGTCTCTGTCTGTTTTTGTGTGTTTGTGTGTCGTGTGTGTCTGTGTGTCTGTCCGTGTCTGTGTGTGTCTGTGTGTGTGTCTGTGTGTGTGTCTGTGTGTCTGTGTGTGTGTGTCTGTGTTCGTCTGCGTGTGTCTGCACATTTTTGTGTGTCTGTGTGTGTGTCTGTGTGTGTCTCTGTTTCTGTGTGTGTCTCTGTGTGGCTGTGTGCCCCTGTGCGTGTGTGAGTGTGTGTCTGTGTGTGTGTCTGCGTGTGCCTGTGTGTCTGTCTGTATCTGCGTGTGTGTCTGTGTGTGTCTGTGTGTGTCTGTGTGTGTCTGTGTGTGGCTGTGTGCCTGTCTGTGTGTTTGTGTGTGCCTGTGCGTGTCTGCGTGTGTCTGCGTGTGCCGGTGTGTGTCGGTGTGTGTCTGTGTGTGTTTCTGTGTGTGACTGTGTGTCTGTGCGTGTCTGTCTGTGTCCGTGTGTCTGTGTGTGTCTGTGTGTGTCTGTGTCTATCTGTATGAGTCGGTATGTCTGTGTGTGTCTGCGTGCGTCTGTCCGTGTCAGTGTGTGCCTGTGTGTGTCTGCGTGTGTCTGTGTGTGTCTGTATGTGTCTGTGTGTGTGTGTCTGTGTATATGTGTGCGTTTGTGTGTGTTTCTGTGTGTGTGTCTCTGTGTGGCTGTGTGTGTCTGTGTGCCTGTGTGTGTCTGTCCGTGTCTGTGTGTGTCTGTGTGTGTCTGTGTGTGTCTGTGTGTGTCTGCGTGTGTCTGTGTGTGTCTGTGTGTATGTGTGCGATTGTATGTGCCTGTGTATGTCTCTGTGTCTCTGTGTGTCTGTGTGTGCCTGTGTGTGTCTGTGTGTGTTTCTGTCTGTGTCTGCGTCTGTGTGTGGCTCTGTGTGTCTTCGTGTGTCTGCATGTGTCTGTGTGTATGTGTGTCTGTGTGTTTCTGTGTGTCTGTGTGTGTGTCTGCGTGTGTCTGTGTAAGCTTGTGTCTGTGTTTGTGTGGTTGTGTGCTTGTGTGTGCTTGTGTGTGGTTGTGCGTCTGTGTGCTTGTGTGTGGTTGTGTGTTTGTGTGTTTGTGTGTGTTTGCGCGTGTATGTGTGTGTGTGTGTCTGTGTGTGGTTGTGTGCGTTTATGTGTTTGTGTGTTTGTGCGTGTTTGTGTGTTTGTGTGTGCATCTGTGCGCCTCTGTGTGTTTGTTTGTTGTGCGTGTGTGTTTGTGTGTTTGTGTGTGCTTGTGTGTGTGCTTGTATGCGTGTGCTTGTGTGCTTGTGTGTGCTTGTGTGTGTCTGCGTGCTTTTAGTGTGTGTGTGTGTTTGTGTGTGCTTGTGCCTGTGATTATGTGTGTTTGTATATTTGTGTGTGCGTGCGTGCGTGCGTGCGTGTTTGTGTGCTTGTGTGCGTGATTGTGTGTGGTTGTGCGTGATTGTGTGTGATTGTTTGCGATTGTACGATTGTGTGTGATTATTTGTGCGATTGTGTGTTATTGTGTGATTGTGTGTGATTGTGTGTGCGTGTGTGTGTGAGTGTATGTCTATTGCAGCCTGCTTTCGGCCAGCCTGGTCGTGTCATTGACGCTGGCCTCTCTTGGTGGCTTTACCATCCATCAAGATTTTTACGGCACGTCGAATTTGGCTGGTGTCGGCCCCGCGTATGCATGTTTTGCGTGCACTGCGTTCCGCCACCACCTATGTATGCTGTCGTAGCGTCAGGTCAGCTGTTGTGATGCTGCCGCGGCCTGTAGGTCTAGCACTCCACCTGATGTGTCGTCTCGCCAGGCCATAGCTCTCAGCGTTACCCCACCAATCAGCTGGTCTGGCAGATTTACAGGTTGTAATATGTATCAGCGTTTCCGGCTGCCTTGAACAAGATATCGTGCTCCTCGGGTTCTGGCCGCTGCACGCTTTTGGGGTCTACACCTGTCGGTGACTACTGGACTTAGTTTGCACTAGATTGCTCGCGCATCTGTTCTCCTTGAGTCGAGTCCGCTCTGCGTACTCCTCGGGTTCTGGCCGCTGCACGCTTTTGGGTAGACAGTCCCATCACTACACCACCCATTCTCTGCAATTTACAGAGTGCGCCCTTCGCATAGCTGTTATTTTGGCCACGCCCGTCTGAAATTAGAACCTTCATCTGCTGCACGCGCCTGAGGCTCCTGTGCACAGCCGACTAAAATGTGTGTGGTGTGTGTTTGTGTTTGTGTTTGTGCCTGTGCTCGTGTTCGTGGTTGTGTTTGGATTTGTGCGTGTGTGCGTGTGTGTGTGTGTGTTTGTGATTATGTTTGTGTTTGTGCTTGCGTTTGTGCTTGTGCTTGTGCTTGTGTGTGTGTGTGTGTGCAAAGCTCTCCGGACTTCTTCCGCCTCCACTGCTTCACATGCCGCGCTCCACAGCACGCGCGTTCAAGGGCTTCCTGCCCTGAGCGTGCTCCGCACCCTCCCCCCCCCGCGCCCGCGCCCTCCTCCCCGGATGTGCCCACGTGGGCCCCGCGGTGCCCCTCGCCACGACCGACAAGTGCCCAGCCCCCGCCCAGGCCAGCCACGCCTAGGCGTGCCTGGCCGTCCTCTCAGGCAGCGCCTGGGCGCCCTCGCGAGGGGGGGGCGGGCCAGGCCTCTGCGGACCCCCCGGACTCCCAGCAACCCCCCGGGCTGTACGCCAGGACCAGCGGCTCCGCGGCCAGCAGCCTCGCGGCCACGCCCGCCTCGCAGCCGTCGGTGGCGACGCGACGGAGGGCGTGGACGACGACGGCATCGACGTCGACGTCGGCCCAGAGCTCCGACGAGATGACTTTCTCAACCGGCGGTATTTCCTCGGTCTTGGCCCTCGGGAGCCGCATTTCGGGCCCCAGGGCCATGAAAACTGTATCGGGCCCAGGAAAGCGGTCGGGCCCACTGGGGCCGCGGATGGTAAAAATCAGATCGACGAGCGCCTGGGGGCGCGACGAACGACGTTGACGACGACGTCGACGTCGACGTCGGCGTTGTCGTTGCCGTTGGTTCCCCAGACATCCGAAGGACCGATCTTGGCAATCTCGGCACTTCTGCCCCACCTCAGCCTTCGGCGGGGGCCTTCTCCGGACCCAAGGACCACCAAGAGAGGATCCAGGATGCAAAGCGGCCCCCAGGGAAAGCGGCCAGGAGATGTGAGCCCGCGGATTGGAAAATCACGCCGCTGGATGTCTGGGAACACTGAGGGCAAAAACTCTTCGAGCTCGTTATGCTCAAACATAGATGAAGGCAAAGCCTTGCTTGCCGTCGGTTGACGTCGTCGCCGTCGTCGTCGCCGTAGCCGTCGTCGTCGTCTTTGTCGTCGTCGTCGGCGTCGTCGTCGACGTCGTCGTCGTCGGCATCGTCGTCGTCGTTGTCGTCGTCGCCGTCGGCGTCGGCGACGGCGAAAGCGCCGGGAGCAGCGCCCACCTGGCCCGAGGCGGCGAGGATCCCCAGCGAGACCTGCGCGGCTGCGGCAGGGCGCCCCCCGACCACCGCCCCGGCGCCCGCGTTCTTCGCGCCGCCGTCGGCGACGACGCGACGGCGGCGGCGATGGCGACGTGGACGTCGACACCGACGTCGTAAACGATGTGGAGGTCGCCATCGTCGACGTCGACGACGCCGACGCCTTCGGTTC